ATGGCCACAAACTGAAGCACCAAAAGTTCCAAAGGAACTTAAGGAAAAATTTCTTGACAGTGAGGGTGACAGAGCACTGGAACAGGCTGCCCAGAGAGGTTGTGGAGTCTCCTCTTCTGGAGATCTCCAAAACCTGCTTGGACGCAGCCCTGTGCCACGTGCTCTAGGTGACCCTCTGTGTGCAGGGGGGTTGGACTAGATGATCCCTGGAGGTCCCTTCCGACCTTAAGCATTCTGTGATTCTGTGACTTAGATCACGGGACTCTGTTTAAAGCACTAATTCCAAAATGCTAGACGTGCACGTTCTCCCGGACACCGATGTGAGGGAGAGGTGGAGATTTCACCTGCATCTTGTGCTTACTTTGGCTTGGTTCGAGCAGTCGTAGCGCATCCTCTGTCTGTTCTTGTTCATTTTACTCATCAGCATCTTCCCCGTGCGGAAGTCGAAGGTGCTGAGCTCCATGGAGCCGCCCAGGTAGCGTGCCAGCTGGGGCTTGCTCCGGAACTTCTTACCGCTCGGGCTGGAAACAGCACAGAAACAGGCAGAAATATTAAAACCACTGGACTTTGGTAGGCTGCAAAACTGAAGAGTTTCCTTTCTTCCAGGAGAGAAGGCAAATGCTGAATAACTGAGTGTGAAATCCCCCTTTCCCAGCTCACACTCAGCTCCGCACGGATATTTGTGCGTTTGTGTCCAGTCCTTTTCATGATTATTGCAGAAAAGACAAATTAAGTGTAGAATTTGTTCAAATGTTTTTTATAAGGAAAGGGCAAACCAGGCATGAATGGATATAGCATAATCCACTCAGTACTGAAATGGAAGATATTGGCACAAAACCTCTCCTTATTTGAGGCAACTGAGCAATAAATGCCTATTTTCGAGCACGGCTTCTTCTCCCAGGAGCTCTATGTCTGATAAGCACCACAAATGTCTCCTCAAACTCCCTTTTTTCCTCCTTGGATTGCACATTCAGCCGTTATTACAAGTCTTTGGTAGCACTCTGAACACTCTATTTCAGGATAACATAGTATTAAGGAGTAAGTAGAGCCTCAGCTGCTTACAAGCTGCAAAGCAAAGAATTATGAAGTTTAATTAACAACGGAGTAAAGGTCAAAGCCTTAGAAAGCTGTGCATTAAAGGCAAAACAGAAGAGAGACTTTTTAAGCACCTGACTGCACACAGCAGACCACAGCTCAGCAAGCAGATGAGAATTGCTCCAACTTTTTCTTCTTTTTTTATTAATACAACACAAACTTTTGTACTACTGCAAAAAGCACTGCTAAATGAACATATTTCACACACAAAGCAGATAAAAGCCAATGCAGCGTGACCGCACCGTGGACCTAAACAGACGAGGAGCACAAATACACCACAACACCACTTCTGTTCATCTCTCCCATTTCTGCATTTTTTGTATGTTTACATATTCTCTTTTCCAGTGGATATAAACGAACCTCCTCACTAGCCTACAAATCCCCCCGGTTCCTGATCTCCTGAGACTCTCCTTTCGGAAAACACAGGGTCACATCCCCTGTTGGCAGGGGGGGAGGCTGTGGCCCTGGTGGCTCCTGGCTGCTTACCCTGCCCACATCTACCCCCCACCTGCACTCTGCGAGTGTAAAAGTGCTTGTGCAGATGCAGCTGTGCAGACAGGGAAAATACTCCAGCTTTTGCGGGAATACTGCAGGGAGACGAGGAGGAAACCCTTTGGCACCGGTTGTTCTCCGGCTCAGCGGGGAGGTGCACGCAGGGAGGTGGCAGAAGGTGACCCCGCAGTAGGTGAAAACAGGGGCAGGGACCAGGTCTTCAATTCAAATGTGAAGCTGCAGCTTAAGACTCTAATGGGAATTAAATGCCTCGACCCAGAAAGAGGGAAAACTAATTCCAGCCGATTTTAGGGCAAAGTCATCCTTGCTGTCAGTGAAGTCAAAAAGAGGAACTTCTTCTACATGAAAAAATATGAAACCCTTGCTTCCTCTAGCGTCTTCAGGACCGATTTATGGTTTAGTGTCATAGTGAAAATCCACCATTATTCACTGAAAATCATGGGCCACGCTGTTCTGGCCAACATCTGATGCCTGAACGGGCCATGAAGAGGCTTGTTGATTTCTGCGATTGCAGCCTAATTCAAGACACCAAAACCTACAGGAACGGCGGGAGCTTGGAGTCTGCCTCTTACACATGGCTGGGGCTTCCCAAATACAACCGTGCAATGGATATAAGCAACACTTTTGCGCGTGGCAATGGCAGTGCTGCCTATGCAAGCTAACATTTTGACAACAAATCTCAAAAGCTGCTGCAAATCAGCTGAGGACTGATGGGAACCTGCAAAAAAGGGAAAAAGATTCAAGGAATCTGAATCAGAGTCCTCTGGGAAGTGTGCCCTAAAAGACCTGTGACGAGGTGCTAACGAGAAAAAACCTCTTTTCTGATTCTGTGCCCTGAAAAAGGCAACTGCAGAATAGGGGAATGAGGAGCAAACTTGACAGTGACCCCGAAGGGAAGGCGCAGGTGTCCCCTGGGCAGAGGGGAGCTACAGGCACTCGAAAGTAATTAAAAAGCCCCCCAAAACCCTACAGAACTCGAGGGCAGGAAAGCTGCTTTGTGCTGGCTCTAAGAGGCGATGGAGCAAACGGGCGCCGCGGCGTTCCGGGGACACGCGGGGCGCGGGAGCTCAGCGGAGCCCCGACCGCGGCATCCCGCGCCTCCCGGTGCAGCCAGGTTCTTCCTGCGCTAACACTTTTTGTTATGCAAAGCTTCGAGAGACTCGGGAGGAAAGTTTTGATTGAAAAATTGAAAAAAAATATACACGCACTATACTCGCTGCGCTATATACGCACACGCCGCCGGGAAGGCAAGGCCGCCGCGAGGCTGCGGGCGATTTTCACGCTTGTCCATCAGCAGCCGCGGCGCTTTCTGCAAACGAACGCGAACGGCAACCGAGGGCGGTGCTAGCAGGCCCGGGAAACCCGCCACTGCCTTTCGAGGAGTTGTTTTATTATTATTTTCAGGAGCAGATGACGGGGGACGCAGGACGGCCCATTGAGCCGCCAGGTGCCCGCTCTCCATGCACGGAGCGGCCTTTGTTCGGAGCCTTATATTCTTAAGGAGAAAAAAAGCGGCTGGGAGCCCTGTGCCCTCCCCCTGTCTTGTTAGGGAAATCTCCTCCCCTTCTTCTCTCCCCATTTAGCGTTCGCCAGCTCCAAAGACAAAAGAGGGAAAAGAAAAAGCGAAAAAAACCCCATGCAACCCAGATGTTTTTTGCCTTTTAAAAACGCGGATATAACAATAACTTAGGTAAAAAGAGTGATGGAAAGCGGGCGTTTAAAAGAAAACCAGCTCATTTCCTTAGTGTGGGAAGGCGGGCATAATGCAAAACATGTTTCCTTCTTTCTCTAAAAATGGGGGTCCCTCCTGCAAAAGTGGCTCTTCGCAGGCCGAGTCCCCCGGGCACTCCCTGGGGCAGAGCTGGGGGCGCAGCGCCCGCTGCCCTCCCGGGACCCTCCTCACGACGCGGGACCCGCTGCCCTCGCGTGTCCGGGACCCGCTGCCATCCGCGCAGATTCTGCCTCAAGACCCAACTCTTTTTCTAGGGAACAAACTATACCAAGAAAGGGAGAGCGGGATTGATGGTTCCGAATGGCTCCGCATCTTCACAGAATTACTGCTTGCAGCATCCCCAGCGCGATGCAAATCTGCCTCGGTGCTGCCGGCTCCTGCTCCATAGCTCCAACAGGATAGGACGTATCCAGAGCCTTCCCCCACCCAGGAAAGCCCCATGCAAAAGCCAGAGCAGGGGCCTTTGCAACCCGCTGCCACGCGGACCCGCCTCTATGCACTTAACGCCACCTGCACGTGGATACTCCGCGTTCCTCAGGACACGGGTGCCCTCCGCTCACCTGCCAGCCTTGGGGAATGGCTGGTTGCCATTTGTCACCACACCTGTCCTTAAAGAGCATTCAGGGGCGCAAGGTGGCCCGTCACAGCAGCAGCACAGGACGCAGCACCCTGCGCCTGGGTGCATCTGTGGCCGGGACCTCGGCACAGGGAAGTCCCCAAGCACAGAAAACGCTAAGGGAACGTGCAGGGAAAAGCTCTGCGCTCCTAGAAACACAGCACCCCGCCGAGGAACAAAAACACCTAACCGAGGAATGAGCCCAAGTATCGATATCCACTTTTATAAGGTCCAGCTTAGGAATCATGAGTCTCACTTTAGAGGCTTTGGATAGCGCAGAGTAACTGAGAAAGAGCAGGGGATGCTCTCAGAAAACACATTCTCCTCTGCAATTTTTCTGGAAAAAAAATATTCAGACCGAGAGATTTGAGGGCTTTTTTTTGAAAAACATTTTTCTGAACTCTTTACGTTGGCGTTGCACAGCCAAGGACGCCACAGCAGAACAAGCTTCACCTAGCACACGGCATCCAGCGCTTGCGAGCAGAGGCGCCCACAACTTCCTGAACCAGAAAGGAACAAAACCCAAAACCTCTCACATGCTCCAACACCAAAAACTCGTAACGAAATACTATAGAAAAAAACAAAACAGATTGTTGTGATGCAGAGCAGCTCCCTCCCATAACTATGAAGGAATGGCAGCAACAGCTCTGAGACGGCCACAGGTTCCCTCCTGACTTTCCCAAATCTTAAGTCCCAAGTAGGCGACAGATTCTAGCGGAAAAAAAAGTTTCTGCCCAATGAACTACTTTATAAAAGCAGGAACGGACACCCCGGCGCTGCTCCCCTCAGGTTGCTGCTGCTCCCCAGGGCTAGCAGGACACACGGGAGCTTCTTCCCGGACACCTCCGACGCGAGGCCCCGCGCGGCTCCGCGGAGCCCGATCACAGCCCCCCGCTGCTGACGGATGCGCAGGGAAACGCGAGGCAGGAAAAGCCGGCGCGTCCACAGCCAGCCACGCGCGCCTCTTCCACACTGCAGCAGTGCAAAACACAGCAAAAAGCAGGAATTACCACAGCAGGGCCATGTTATACCCTTGATCTCGGTCCAAATTGATATAAAGGGAAAGAATTCATTACAACTTGGGAATAAGAACATGTTCCTTGGCCTCTCTGCACCCACCCCCTTTTCTTTTTTTTCCCCGCATTTGAAGTCCAGGGTTGAGATCACAACTTTACAAGTGAAAATCTGGGAAATAGAGGGATTGTGCAGGTTTTCCGCTCCCCCGTCTGCTTCGGGTGGCCTTTTCCTCCCGGCAGACCCCCTGGATTGCGAGCGGAGGGACTCGCAGCTCCGGAGCCCGACACCACCCGCTGCTTTACGCGCTGCTGGGCTCAGGACGGCATTTTTGTGATTACGACCCAATCCGGAGCAAAGCCCCTTCCCCGCGCGGAACCGATCCAGAGCGAAGCCCCTTCCCAGCGTGGACCCAATCCGGAGCACAGCCGTTCACCCCCCAGTCCCGATCCGGAGCGCAGCCCTTCACCCCCCCGGTCCCGATCCGGAGCGCAGCCCTTCCCGCGCAGCTGGAGCCCGGACACGCAGGGAGCGCCCCACGGATCCACACG